AACACACTCTCTCCCTGATACACAGAACACGCTGTCTCCCAGACACATGGAACACACTCTCTCCCTGACACACAGAACACACTCTCTCCCTGATACACAGAACATGCTTTGTTCCTGACAGGAATTTGTGGAGAATCATTGGGCTGGATTTCCCCCAAGTCCACCATGAATGCTTGCCCTGGTTGGATGCTGGTGAGTAGGTGATAGGACTATCATGGGGTGCCATGCTGAGATGGCATATTCCTGCTGCCAGTTACTGACCAGCTCCTTGTTACATGGCAGTGTGGAAGCGATGTAGATAATTTATGGTCCCATTAGGGGTGATGTAATGCTACCAGCTCCCTGGAGATGAGCCCGCTGCAGCCGACAGTGAAGGGCTCAGCATTAAGGTTTCCTTTCCCAAAGATTGGGCCCATTGTCACAAATGCGGTGAGCTAGCCTCCTCCTCTGTGAGAGAGCCAATGGCTTGGCCTGATGTATTAGTCTCAGTTCATGTCCCTGAGAAAGCCTCCATATTGAAATGCCCTCGCAGGTGTTGACCTGCTTTTCTGTAGACAGGTCAGAGGCAATGAGGATGCCACACCCCTCCCCATTAAAGGGAATGGATAAATCAGTGTAGTTTCTGTAATAAACCAACAGCTTTTGCCTCTTGGTCTATCTTGGAAAGGTGTGAATGGGCTCACACACCTTGTGAACAGTTGGACTGGCACAATTGGTACCTTGGGACATCTTGCGAAGGAACAGAGCAGGGCAGAGGGTAAATGTAGTTCTCTGTCTCTGAAGAAGAGGATATACAGCTTGAAATTCAGATGGTATTCTGTTTCTGGCTGATTTGATGTTGAGTGGGCAGGTTGATCTGATGGAGGGGGCAGCTCCATTCAGAATGTGAACAAACTCTGCCAGACAGACAGTTTGAGCTTGTGTGTGCTTATTATCAGTGACAGGATTCCTGCTGGGGTCTCTCTCACTTGGTGACTCTCGGTAAACAGGTAAAACAGTGTCAGCACGGTGGGAGAGATGGTTAGGCACAAGGAAACAGGGCTGGAACCTAATGGAGCTCAATAACAACAGGCCCTCAGAGGAAAGGTAAAGGAGTAAGTGTCTTAGAATTTAGATTCTTTACAGTGCCAAATACCCCTCCCATTGCTGCCTCATTTTCCACTTCCAAGTTAGTCCCAAAAAACCCTCCAAGTACATTCCCATTGACCCCTCTCCTTCTAATACAATTCTATGTACCCTCCTCCTGGTACAATCTCATTACCTCTCTCTTCCCTGTGCAGTTCCATATTCCCCTCTCCTCCCACTACAGCCCTATATACCTTTCCCCTCCCTACGCTGATTCATACCTTAGCTGGACGCCCAGAATGACTAACCGTTAGAGTTTTAAGGGATCTGCCTGTAGTTTGATGATTGTCCTGTAGTCTGGTTTTACATATTCCTGGGAATCCATTCATCCTGTATTTCCAGCAAACTGAGAGTCCCCTTCTGTGAGTGCCTCTGCGTGTTTGGTATTGCCAACATCAGCCAAGTGGTAGAAAAGGAGCACTGAATTGGAGGATTTGAAATAAAACTCATCCTTCTCATACAGGGGATTGTTATTCGGTACGATCCAGCTCCCAGCACTCTGACCAGTATCACACCATTCCCACCCCCTCACCCACTCTCACCAATAATCCACACTGCTCTGCACACTCAGTCCCACGGTCAAGGTTATTTTATTTGCTCAGAGTTGGTTACCCTACTCTACACTGTCCCATCAATCGCTGCCTTCAATGGCCTGTCTGAGTGTGTCAAGGGGCCATTCATTCACACAATCACAGAAATGTTATGGTACAGGAGGAGGCCATTCAGTCCATTGTGCAAGCACCAGCTCTTCAAACGAGCATCACTTTAAATTTATATCCTCTGATTCTTTTCCCATTCACAATCAGGAACAGGTTCTCCCTTTCTACTCTGTCTAGCTCACTTATGATTGTAAAAATCTCTATCAAACCTCCCTCTCAGCCTTCTTCTCTTCAAGGAGAACAGTGCCAACTTCTTCAATCTATCCTTGTCACTGAAGCGTCTCATCCCTGGAACCACTCCTGTAAATTGTTACTGCTCCCTCTCTTTCTCCAGTGTGCTCATGTCTTTCCTATAATGTGGCAACCGTACACAACAGTACAAGGTCAGCCAGGTGGACCTCATATTTATTCCTGGGAATCCATTCAGTTTCCTGATTGGGGTTGTTAATCTGGTCCGATCAGGGAGCCCTGGCTGACAGATATAAACAGAAGTCTCACTCTGAGAGCTGGCTCTGAGGAAGCCAGACCAGTGTCAAGTACTGTGCAGCTGTAAATAAAGGGTGCCTTGATGATGAGATACCGGCCTCCATGGAGTTATTTCAGAGCCCAGCTGAGGTCTAACAAGCATTCTGTACAAGTTCAGTATCACCTCCTTGTTGTTCTACTCTATGTTCCCAATAATAAAGCCAAGCACACAGTTCTGTATCAGGCTGTGAAACTTTTAATTGGGTCAGAGACTCTGGTGTGAGCAGGGTGTGAAAACCAACAGATGTACAAAGTACGTGACTGAATACTTAGCTGATTGATAGCTGACTACGTGTCAGAGAACAGAGGAGAAATGGAAATGCGAATGAAATCACTGTATATTCCTCAGGCATCATGTGAGAGGCAGCTTTGAGGGGTCTGAAATGGGCAGATGTTATTCGAACGGAAAAGGTACCCTGGAATTGCTGCTTATGGTCCAACATGTGGACCACAGAGGTTCAATAAGTGCTCCGTCATAATTAAGGGCAATTAGGGATGGATAAGAAAATGTTTGCCTTCCTATTGACACTCTGTGTTGAAGAATAAATCTTTGAAACAAATTAGTGCAGAATAAAAACATCCTGGGATTTAATATATCTGTGGATTTTGCAGTTAACGGGCAATGAAGCTGTAGGGAAGGAGCACTGAGGGGGCATTGAAGGGCACTGAGGGGCAGTGAGAGGAGTGCAATGGAGCAGTAAGCAGGCAGCTGGAAACAGTGAGGGGACAGTGGGACGTCTGGTACCTGTGTGACTTTCTCCGTGACATTCTGAGTTCTCTCTTTCACTTTGCTGGGTGCGATGATCTCGATCTCGGTGGGTGACGGTGTCAGGATGACATCAGGGTTAAAATCCACGAAGTTGAGGGTAATCTGTGGGATCCTGCTGATGGCGCGATACTTCATCAAATCTGAGTCCGACGTGGAGTTCAGGAGGTGTGGCTTCAAGCTTTTCGAGCCCCCTTAAAGAAACCGAGAGAATATTAGAGACCAGACAGAACCCAGAGACCGGACAGAACCCAGAGACCAGACAGAACCCAGACACTGACAGAACCCAGAGACCAGACAGCACCCAGAGACCAGACAGCACCCAGAGACCAGACAGAACCCAGAGACCAGACAGAACCCAGAGACCAGACAACACACAGAGAGTGGACAGCACAAGGTTAGATTAAGGATAGAGCTCCCTTTACACTGTTCACATCAAACACTCTCAAGGCAGAGACAGAATAGGGGTAGATACAGACTAAAGCTTCCTTCACTCTTCCCCTCTACTCTTTTAATCTGAAAGCACAAGTCCCTCGACACTGTGCCCATCAAATAATCCCAGGACAGGGTCAGACATGGTTAAATAAAAGGTATGCGTCCTTTACCTTTATCAACTGAAAATAAACCTCTTTCCACTCTTCTGAACATAAAGTTTCTTCTATTCTTGTAAACCGAAGATAAACTGAACATAAAGCTCCTCAACACTGTACCCATCAAATACTCTCAGGACAAGTAAGGCACAGCTTTAGATACAAAGTAAAGATTCCTGTCGTCTTTTAAACTGCAAGTAAAGCTCACTCAGGGTTAGATACAGAGTAAAGCTACCTCTATAGTGTCTCCATCAAACACACCCAGGAAAGGGAGAACACGGGGTTAGTTATACAGTAAATTTCACTCTAATAATGGGTAAGGTCAAAAGTGACATGACACCAGGTTATAGTCCAACAGGTTTGTTTGAAATCACAAGCTTTCGACGCGCCACCCCTTTGTCAGGTAAAGTGTAGACAGCACCCAGGCACAGACTTTATAACCAGAGAGATCAAAAGATCATACAAATGGTGTGAGTGGAGTGTCGACAGGTTGAATAATAAGTCCCTGTAGGCGATCAAGAGTGTCGGATGGTGTGAGTAAAGTGGCAACAGCTGAATAACAAGTGAAGGGATGACCAATAATCCGATTAATCGAGGCAGAGAGATAATTACAAAAAATTAAAAATAACACAGTGCTGCAGACAAACCAAATGGCTCGAATAACATGATAGGTATAAGAGTCACATGCCGAGGGTCTAACCAAAGTAACGAGCAATCCAAAACTGTACAAACTAATTAAGGCGGAGGGATCATAGCAAGTTATAGAATCCCTACAGTGTGGAAACAGGCCCTTCAGCCCAACAAGTCCACACTGAACCTCAGAGCATCCCACCCAGACCCACCCCCCTGTAACCCACCTAATCTACACTTCCCTGAACACTATGGGACAATTTATCATGGCCAATCCACCTAGCCTGCACATCTTTGGACTGTGGGAGGAAACCAGAGCACCCGGAAGAATCCCACGCAGGCATGGGGAGAACGTGCAAACTCCATACAGACAGTCACCTGAGGCTGGAATTGAACCTGGGTTCCTGGCGCTGTAAGGCAGCAATGCTAACCACTGAGCCACCATGCCACCCCTAAATCCAGGTGATGGTGTTAAAACAGGACAGTAAGGAAGGCTTTACAGATATGAACAGTGTGGTGGGATTACATGTAGCATGACATGAATCCAAGATCATGGTTGAGGCTGTCTTCATGGGTGTAGAACTTGTCTATCAATCTCCGCTCGGCAATTCAGTGTTGGTGTGTGTCTCAAAGGCCACTTTGGAGGACACTTACCCGAAGATCGGAGGCTGAAAGTCACTGACCGCCGAAGTATTCCCCGACTGGGAGGGAACATTCCTGCCTGGTGATTGCTGCACAGTGTCCATTCATGTGTTGTCATAGCATCTGCATGGTCTCACCAATATACCACGCCTCACGGCATCTTGCCTGCAGTGTATGAGGTCCACCCCAGTCCAACACCAGCACTTCCACTTCATGACTATCATTGACACCACAAACTGCTGGCTCAAAGTGGAGAGGATCTCTAAGAAGATCCTGCATATTGACACAGACATCAAGTTTCTGCAGAAATGCAAGAAAACAGAGAAGATTCCGAAAGGATTACAGATCACGTAAACACTCAAGTCAACCTACAACATAGACCACGCTGAGAGACTCAGCCATCACACCTCTCAGACCTCAATCCTCAATCATCCTGTGCACCAGCTCTGTGCACAAGGTAGCGCAGAATGTTAGCCAAGCACAACACAACGCATCCATATTCTCAAAACCAACCACAAAATCATCATCAAACCAGCAGACAAAGGAGGAGTCATCGTCAAACAGAATGGAATGGATTACTGCACAGAAGCGTACCGACAACTGAACAACGAGGAACACTGCAGACAACTACTTGCCGATCCGACCAAAGAACACACCCATGAACTCAACAGACTGATCAAGACCTTTGATCCAGACCTTCAGAGTATGCTATGCCCTTTCATCCCATGTACTTCTTGTGTAGGAGACTTCTACTGCCTTCTGAAGACACACAAAGCCAACACACCTGGACGTCCCATTGTATCAGGCAATGGGACCTTGTGTGAGAACCTCTCTGGCTATGTCCAAGGCATCTTGAAACACATTGCACAAGGAATCCCCAGCTTCTGTTGTGACACTACAGTCTTTTTACAGAAACTCAGCTCCCATGGACCAGTCAAACCAGGAACATTCTTTGTCACAATGATGTTTCGGCGCTCTACAGCAGCATCCCCTACGACAACAGCCTCACTGCAACAGCCTCCATACTCAATACCTCCAACTACCAATTTCCAGACACCATCCTACAACACAGGCACTTCATCCTCCATCACGCCTTCACCTTTGACAACCACTTCTTCATCCAGATACATGGAACAGCCATGGGGACCAGATTTACACCCCAAAATGCCAACATTTTCATGCACAAGTTTGAGCAAGACTTCTTTGCTGCACAGGACCTCTGAGCAGCACTATACACCAAATACCTCAATGACATTTTCTTCCTTTGGACTCATGGCGAGGAATCACTGACACAACTGGTAGCGATACCAACAAGTTTCATCCCACCATTAGACTCACTGCAGACTATTCTTCAGAATCAGTCTCATTCTTGGACACATGCATCCCCATCAAGGACGGACACCTCAGTACCTCACTCTACCACAAGCCCACGGATAACCTCACAATGCTGCATTTCTCTAGCTTCCATCCTAAACACATTAAAGAAGCCATCCCCTACGGACAAGATCTGCACATACACAGACGAGGAGGAATGTGATGGACACCTAAAGATGCCGAAAGACGCTGTAAAAGAATGGGATATGATGCTCAACTCATCGATCGCCAGTTCCGACATGCCACAGGGAAAAACCGCAGCGACCTCCTCAGAAGACAGACACAGGATACGACCGATAGAGTACCCTTCATCATCCAGTACTTCCCCGGAGTGGAGAAACTACACTATGTTCTTCACAGCCTTCAACATGTCATCGATGACAATGAGCATTTTGCCTATTCCTCCAATTCTTGTCTTCAAACAACCACTGAACCTTAAACAGACCATTGTTCACAGCAAACTACCCAACCTTCAGGACAACATTGACCACAACACCATGCAATCCTGTCATGGCAATCTCTGCAAGACATGGCAGATCATCGACATGGACACTACCATCAAACATGGGAACACCACCCACCACGTACACGGCAGTTACTCATGTGATTTGGCCAATCTTATTTATCTCATACACTGCAGGCAAAGATGCCCCAAGGCATGGAATATTGGTGAGACCATGCAGACGCTATGACAACATATGAATGGACACTGTGCAGCAATCACCAGACAGGGATGTTCCCTCCCAGTCGGGGAACACTTCAGGTGTCAAAGACATTCAGCCTCCGTTCTTTGGGTAAGTGTCTTCCAAGGCGACCTTTGAGATACACAACCACGCAGAATCACCGAGCAGAGATTGATAGCCAAGTTCTGTGCCCATGAAGAGGGCCTCAACCATGATCTTGGGTTCACGTTGTGCTACATGTAACCCCACCACACTGTTCTGTATCTGTAAAACCTTCCTTACTGTCCTGTTTTCACACCATCACCTGGATAAATTGTTATGATCTTTCTACCTTAATTAGTTTGTACAGTTTTGAATTGCTTGTTACTTTGGTTAGACCCTCAGCATGCGACTCTTATACCTATCATGTTACTCTAGTCATTTGGTTTATCTCCAGCACCATTTTTTGTAATTATCTCTCTGCCTCATTTAATCAGATTATTGGTCATCCTTTCACTTGTTATTCAGCTGCTGACACTTTACTCACACCATCTGACACTCTTGATCACCTGCAGAGACTTATTATTCAACCTGTCGATACTCCAATCATACCAACTGTATGATCTTTTGATCTCTTTGGTTATAAAGTCTGTGCCTGGGTGCTCTCTTCACTTCACCTGACATAGGGGCAATGCTACAAAAGCTTGTGATCCCAAATAAACCTGTTGGACGAGAACCTGATGTCATGTGACTGGTGACTTTGTCCACCCCAGTCAGACACCAGCACCTCCACATCAGGGCTATTTATGGGTGTTTCAGTGGTTAGTGCTGCTGCCTCATAGCACCAGGGACCTGGGTTCAATTCTAGCCTCGCGTGACTGTCTGTGTGGATTTGTACATATTCTCCTTGTGTCTAGGTGGATTTCCACTGAGTGCTCTGGTTTCCTCCCACAGTCAAAAGCTGTGCTGGTTAGGGTGGATTGGCCATGTGAAATTGCTCAGCGTGTCCAGGGATGTGCAGGCTAAGTGGATGTGCCATGGGAAATGCAGGATTACAGGGATAGGGTGGGGGGTAGTGGGTCTAGGTGGGATGCTGTTGAGAGAGGTGGTATGGGCCAGATGGCCTGCTTTCACACTGTAGGGATTCTGTAACCTTTTTAAACTGAATGCAAAGCCCTTTTTTACTCTTTTCAATAACAAGTGAAGCTTCCTGTATTCTTTTAAGCTGAACGTATAGCTCCCCGACACTGTCCTCTAAACACTCCCAGGACAGAGAGCACAGGGTTAGATACAAAGTAAAGCTGCCTCTACAGTCTCCCCATCCTGCACTCCCAGGACAGCAGCAGCATGGGGTGAGATATGGAGTAAAGCTCTCTCTACTCTTTTAAACCGAAAGTAATGCTCTCTCTACACTGTACCCATCAAACATTCCCCGAAGAGGTACAGCACGGAATTACACAGAGAGCAAAGCTCCCTTTTCTCTTCAAAACTGAAAGTAAAGTCTATTCTACTCTTTTAAATTGAAAGTAAAGCCTCCGTGAACACTTTCTCCATTAAACACTCCTGGCGAGATTCTGCTTTGACCTAAACCACTAGTTCAGTTGGCTCTTGCCCGGTCATTGTGTGTAGGAACTGTGTGGGCAGCAAATGGGGAAGAGAGAACGGCAACCTGATTAAACTGTATTTAAACCCACGTCTTGGTGGTATATTTATTATTTGAGTGAACGCCATCATTGTTTAATTTTTACAACACCTGACCTTAAAGCTATTGAAAATGGAGATCTTCCTTTCGCACCTGAATTTATTCTTTTCTCCCTGAGCTTCTTCTCAAATTTACTTCTCATCTGCTCAATGTTGTCCACGGAAGAGGCTCGTCTGATGCTGTGGAAACTGTCCTGGGATTGGGCATGGATCAGTTTGTTGTTGGTGCAATGGAGATGTGATTCCCACCGCTCCTGTTCCTTGGTGGGGGGGGAGTTGCCTACGGGTTCAGGGACAGTCTGGATGGCTGATTTATCGCACAGTTCAATCAGTGCTTCCTGTTCAGGCTGCATGGGATTCTCACTCAAAGGGCCTCGGAAATCCTTCATGGCTAAGGAATCCCGGTCAGACTGGTCATCCATCACTGCATCAAAACCCTCCTTGGCCAGAGACTGTTGACTTAAGGTCATCGTACGAAGAGATGGAAGCTTTAGCTTAAAACTCTTACCACGACCTGTTGAAGAAATAAAACAAAGCACATAATTACTGTTGGTGTCCTGCCCTTCCTCGATATCAGAGGGCACTGGAGAATTGAGCATCAGTTGGATTTGCAGGATTGTTGGATTGAATGCAGGTGGGATTGAGTGTCAGTGGAATCAAGTGTCGGGATCAAGTGTCGGTGGGATCAAATGTTGTGGGGTCAAGAACAAATGGGATCAATCGCCAGTGAGATTGCATGTCCGTTGGATTGACTATTACTGGGATTGAGTGTTAGTGGGATTGAATACTCATGGAATTGAGTGCAAATTTCAATATCAATTTGTACTGAGAGTTGCGTCGGGACATTTTTAATCTCTTTCTAAAAATTTAATTCTATTTATATTTCACATTTATTATTTAACAGTGAGTTACTGTTTAATTTCTAAATTTCATCCAGGCTAAAGCAAGTATATGCAAGCTTCCCATCTGAGGGCAGATGAAGTTCGGTAATTAAGGAAGTCAGTTTAAACTGGTTATTCCATGCGTGGGTCTGAGCTAGCTCGGAGCATATAAACAGAGACATCTCAGTGCAGCTTAGCACTGAGTCCGACTTTGAGCCGCATGCTAGGAACTGGTTTAGGAAGAGAATTAGATAAAGAGGGGAAAGACATACTGCTTTGCTTTTTCTAATCTTTTCACCCTCTAGGAATTATTATTATCCTATAGTAGTAGAAGCCAGCTGTTTGTGGAGTACTCAGTCGTTGTTGAAGTCTATTCTATTCTTTTAGCTAATAGTAGTATATGAACTGATGGCATGGCTATTAAAGAATATTTTAAAAAGGAAACAAAGTAATTTAATAAAATAATTAAGCAGTTAATTAGAATGCATCAAGGATGGCAGGACAGGTGATGTGTCACAGCTGCAGTATGTGGGCGCTCCTAGATGCCAGTGTGATCCAGGGTAAACACATCTGCAGTAAATGTTTGTGGTTCGAGCAGCTTTGGCTCAGAGTCTCCAAGCTGGAGATTGATGCTGCAGATACTGCGGCACATTAGTGAGGGGGCAAGTTACCTAAACACGTTATCCCAGGAGGCAGTCACACTCCTCAGCGTATTGTCTTCTGGTTTTACCAGAAGGTTGCCTGGGCTGGAGAGCTTCTGTTCTGAAGAGAGATTGGACAGACTAGGGTTTGTTTTCCTCGGAGCAGAGGAGATTGAGAGCGGACAGAATTGAGATGTATAAAATGATGAGGGGCATAGATAAAGTAGACATGAAACAACTTTCCTCCTGATGGAGGGATCACAAAAAGGGGCAGAAATTTTAGAGGGAATGTGAGGAAAGGATTTTTCACCCAGACGGTGGCAGGAATCTTGAATTCACAGTTACAGAAACCCTCGTGACATCTAAGAAATATTTAAACATGAGTTTATGGTGCCAAGGTTTGTGCTTTAGATCTATCGATTCCATGGTCACTGGTTAAGGAGGGGAGGGTATGGCTGTTTCCGAGGTAGGTATGGGGACAAAGAGGGTGGTTAAGTTTCAGGTTTTATGGAAATAGACCTAATGACCAGTGGAAGAGCAAAGTTCCAATGAGGACCTGGGTTACTCTTTACTAAAGAGGGAGCAATACTTTCATTACCCATACTTTCATTAATACTTTCATTACCCATACTTTCATTAGCCATACAGAGACAAGACACAAAGCAAAGTTTCTTTATTCAGAATTGCAGCCTGATAATCTGAACGCAGGTGAAGGTTTGGATAAATTGTTAACTTTCACGATTAAAATTTATCAAAGGGAAAATCTCTTGATTACTTACAAGGCATGGTCAGATTTTGACAAATTTAGAAAGATTGAGGATATTAATATTGGAGGAGTACCTGACGGAATTTAGTTGCTTATTTTTAAAGTTACAGAAATTTCATTTGTAAATTCCCCAATCTGCGCTGGCATTTAAGTATTGAGTATGGACAGACTTCTAGATTATGAGTTAGATTTGTGGATACACATACACTGCTAGAACAAAGGTCAGATGCACTTAACAGAACCCTGAGGAAAGCATTGCTTCCCAGCAGCATCCGGACTGCAAAAGGGTGATACAACAGAGGATGGAGGACACAATCTTAACAAATTGGTGAGAGCATGTAGCTACAGGTAACAGGTGACAGTATGAAAGTAGAACTGAAACCAATAGAAATGAGGACAGAAATATGATTAATTTATTTTCAGAAGAGAAATTGGCATTTACAATAAGTGAGTGAACCCCAGAAGTGCTCAGGGCGTAGTCAATCGATGTTTCGGGTGTGATTCAATGTATCACTACACCACAGACTGTCCCAAACAATATAGTAATGTGTCTGAAACTAAATGGGAAGTGGAAGATTTGAAGGAAGAAGGTGAAGATATAGACCAAAGATTCTGGCAAAGATCTACAGCTCGGGTTGTGGGTGAGTTTGTTGGGTTGGTCACCGAGCTGGCTGGTTATCATACAGACGTTTCGTCACCATGCTAGGTAACATCATCAGCGCAGCCTCCGGTGAAGCGATGTAGTTCCACTCTGCTTAGTATTGGTATGATCTGGTGTGTTGAGGTGTTTTGTGTCATTTCTGGTTCTTTTTGGCAAGGGTTTGTATATGGGGTCAAATTCCACATGTTTATTGATAGCATTATGGGTGGAGAACCAGGCCTCTAGGAATTCCAGTGCGTTTCTATGGTTGGCTTGGGCTAGGTTGGTCATATTGTCCCAGTTAAATTGATGGCCTTCATTGTCGGAGTGCCCTGAGATGAGGGAAAGTTTGCCGTGTCGTTATGTTGATACTTGTATACTTAAAGGTGAAGTGTGTGGTGAGGTATAGGTCCAGTAGTGTGAGTATGTTGTCATTGCTGATGGAGCTGTCAGTCAGCATTCCTGTTTCCTCTAGTAATGTGGTCAGTGTTTCTTTGGCTGGTGGTGTGTTAATGGACGTGAATAGCGCTGTAGCATCAAAGAATACCATAATCTCGTCATCATTGATTTTAATGTTCTTGAGGTTGTTAAGGAATTCCTGGGTTGAGTGGATGGAGTGGGGTGATCCATCGACCAGATGTTTCAGTCTCTGTTGTAGGCCCTTGGCCAATTTGTGTGTAGGTGTGCCTGGTAAGGAGACTGTGGGTCTGAGGGGAATGCCTGGTTTGTGTACTTTGGGGAGACTATAGAAGCGGGGAGTGTTCGAGCCTTCTGGTTTCATTTTTATGTAATCTGCCTTGGTTATTTGTCCTGCATTTTTTAGTCTCCTCATTGTTTGGATGCCCTGTTTGCTAGTTGCGGTGTTGGGTCTATCTCCACCTGTTGGTAAGTGTCTGTATCTGCAAGTAGTGCCTGTGCTTTCTCAACGTAGTCCAGTTTGTTCATAGTGACGATCATCCACTCTTTGTCCGCTGGTAGGATTATGATGTTCCTGTCTTTCTTGAGTCCTTCGAGTGCTTTTGTCTGACGTGTCTATGGTGTCTCAATCATTCCTCCAGTTCAGTGTAGGGATTATAGTTTGTAGGATGGCCTGTTGTGTTTCATCTGTGAGTCCATTACCTTTTAGTGTAGCTTCCAGAGTGGCCATGAAGTCTGTTCTGTTTGCATCTCTGTGGTCATATTTCAGTCTGCATATTAGGGCAGCTTTCTAAGTTTCTGTTATGTGGTCTGTTGGATAGGTTTCTTATCCATGGGTCTGGTTTGTTGTTGTCCTTGTTTTTGTTACCAATCAGTTTGGTCAGTTTCTCTTGTAACTTGTTTCTCTTCTTAGTTCTGGTCATGTGTTGTTTGGTGGTAATGGCCTGTTCTAGGGTTGTAGTCCATTGCTGGTCAGTTGTATTTTTGTATACTGATTTTTGGCGCGACATTTCTCGTTCATACTTGTGGGGCCGGTTATGGGCATTGTTAATCATTACCTGAATCATTCTGCAGCCATTTTGGTGCCTACTAGGTAGACAACACCAAGAGGACACAATACGACCTAATACACTGGCCACACGACTGTATGTCAAGAATATATCGGAACTGACAACAAGACTCGTACAACCACTGGGAATCAGGATAGCACACAAACTCACAGCCACACTACGCCAACCACTCACAAGGACCAAAAACCCCAAACCCACGACATGCAGGACCAGTGTGGTGTACAAAATACCATGCGAGGTCTGCCAAAAACATTACATCAGGACAGGAAGGAAACTAGCCATCAGGATACACAAGAACCAGCTAGCAACATAACGACATGGCGAACTTTCCCTCATCTCAGTGCACTCCGACAATGAAGGCCATCAATTTAACTGGGACGACGTGACCATCCTAGCTCAAGCCAACTATAGACATGCACAGGAATTCCTAGAGGCCTGGTTCTCCACCTGTAATGCTATCAATATACACGTGGAATTAGACCCCATATACAACCCTTGCCAAAAGGAACCAGAAATGACACAAAACACCACAACGGACTGGATCATATAAATACTAAGCGGATTAGATCTACTTTGCTTCATCAGAGGCCGCATTGATGTTGTTACCCATCATGGTGACGAAACATCAGTATGATAACCAGCCAGCTCGGTGAGCAAGTCAACAACCTCACAGATCACAGAGAGAAGACACTGTATAGGTCACCAGAAGTTTCAGCCCAATGATGAATGTATTGGTCCACTAGCAAAATTTCTCACTGATAACGGAGGGGTTAGGGGGACATACTAGTGATGAATTCAGAGGCATACACATGAATATGACCATAATAATCAGGAATACGGCGGTAGAAAGCTCTTTTAGCAATGGGGCATGTGAAAGGAACCATGCATAATAGGTGAAATGATTCATAAACATTTTGGCAGTTCAGCCAGAGTGTAAATTAGTATCGGCACTCGAGTGAGCTGCACAAGCTAAAACATTCATTGTAAACAGTTGGCAGATTTAGTCCACATCAGTTAGCTTTTGGTATAAATCCTAAAATTCCACATGATAATTGAACAGTCCCTCGCTTGCAAAGGGGCTACAATTAGCTGGATATTTTCAAATGCACTGCTTGCAGACAGAAATAAGTTAATTAGTTATGGACTGTTTAGTAGATTTTCTGCTTGGAATTTCGTAAACAGTGTTCACGTGGGGTGCATTTTTACATTTTAGTCTCATCCTGCTCACTCGTTAAAATGAGTTTCAATCTAGGAGACGTGGTTTATTATAGGCTTAAAACACGGAGAGAGCCAGGGAAGGTTATTGGTGAAAATGGAAAAAACAATAATTGTACACCCTGGGACCAGAGAGTTCGGATACACTCTCGTTTGGTATGGATTAGAATTTTCAGATTCTGAAGAAGTCAGAGAAAATAATGAGGAGGCAGATAGCCCTCATTCCCAAATATTACACAGAACTGAGGACCAAACTACTACAACTTACAGTTTGTCTGATGATGGCTGGATCAGTTCTAATAGTCAATATGAGGCCATTAGTCAGAACAATTGACAAAAGTGGGTACTCATATCAAATATTTACCAGAAGGAGCTAGTCAATGAAGAAATGTGCTGTGGATAAAGGGGAGTTATGCATGTATTGTACCTAGATTTCCAGAAGGCATTTGATAAAGTGCCACATGAAAGTTAGCTGTGTAAAATAAGAGCTCATGGTGAATGGGGAAACATATTAACATGGATTGATGAATTACTGGCAGGCAAAAAATTGAGTTAGGATGAATGGGTACTTGATTGGTAAGATGTGATGATTGTAGTCCGTAGGGATCTGTGCTGGGCCTCAATATTTTTTTATAATTTATACCAATGACGTCGTTTGAGGGGAGCAAACTAACCAACTTTTGCAGTCAGCACCAATATAGGCCGGAAATGTTTCCATATGTTGTGAAAAGGACATACGAAAGCTGTCGATGGATACAGGCAGATTGAATGAGTGGACAGATGGACTTTAATGTGAAATTGTTTGCTTTGGCAGGAAGAAAGAGAAAGCAGAGTGTTACTTTAATGGAGAATGACTGTGGAATTCCACAATGCACAGCAATGTTCCCACTAAGTTCGGCGAGTTGGTGAAAGGCTTCTCCCTCCAGAAGCCACTGTCATGCACTGACCTTGGAGCTCCACACAGCAGAGAATATTGGTGCAGGAGGATCAGGGGGTTCTAGCACACGAGTTACAAAACATTAACATGCAGGTACAGCACATTAGCAAGGACAATAGATGCTATTCTTTATTCTGTGAGGAATTGAGCATTAAAGTAAGGATATATTGCTTCAGTTACACAGTGCACTGGGGAGACCACATTGTGAATACTGTACCTCCTTATAACTTGTAAATTGCCTCCACACCCTCTCTGGATTTTGATGTGGTTTGTTTTTAACATGATGATCAGTATTGCACACTGTGTGTATTCTCAGCAAGGTTCAATAAAGATCGAACAAACCATTACTTTCCAAATCTTTCCCTCCAGAATAAAGCTGAGAGTTTGGTTTGGTTTGGGGATAACCTTGCTAATCTGGTTCAGCCTTTAGTGACTGATAATTTGGAATTCTGAGATCACTTCTTTGCTACCTCACCAGGACACACAGCTTCCAGGGAATAAGTGACCTTCTTGTTCTTTCCAACAAATGTCCTGCCTCATATTAGTCTGTGTTAAATGGTCATTGGGATTGAATAAGGGATCAAGTGACAATGAGATCGAATGTCATTGCCAGGGGGATTGGGTGTCAGTGAAGTTGCGGGGGGGAGGGGTGCGGAATCAGGGCAGGTAGTTCAGATCCAGTAGAATCAAGTCAGGGCTGAGAGATCATGCATCGTTGGAATCAGGGGTCAATGCAGGGGAATTGAGTGCCAGTGGGATGAAGCTTCAGTGCAGGAGGGTTGAACACCAGTGGGATCAAGTGTCAATGTAGTGGGTCCAAGTGCCAGTGCAGGGGGAGATCAAGCACCAAAGGAATCAAGTGTCAGTGCAGGGAGATCGGGTGCCGTGGGATCAGGTATCAGTGCAGGGGGATCAAATGACAATGGGATCGAATGTCTGTGCAAGGGATTGAACGCTCGTGGGATCAAGTTTCTGCAGGAGGAACCAAGCTGCTGTGGGATCAAGTGTGTGCAGGAGGATCAAGTGCCATGTTTTGCAATTGGATTGAGACCAGAGCGAGATACAAACAGCCACATTACCATGTAAAAAACTTGGTTTCCCTGTTTTTGGTAGAACCAGTTTCCCTTTCACAGCTCACAGGACTCTGAACCTCCCCAAACCAGAATCCTCTGGCAGTTTATGTTGTTTGGTGTGAGGAACATTCCCTGTCTCTGGGTCCCAGGTATTAGCTGCAGTCGGAGCTTGTGGTAAATTGTCAGCCTTTGGTGGGGCTGCTGGTACCAGACACCAGGGGAGATGGGAGGCTGGTGATGGGTGCCACCTGCAGACTTTGTGGCAGTGTAGTAGACCCTCCAGTGACGTTTCCAATGGAGAAGAGGCCTGTGTCTAATAGACTGTCCCCATGGTGACAGTGCGAGAGTGAGGCCTGTCAGAGAGAACACCTCCCACTTACTACATTAGTGTGGCCTCCAAAAGGCACTGAAAACTCAAAAGGTGTAAGTAAGTTATTAAAGTTATAAAATGTGAAAGCTTGAAAATAGCTTAGTTTTGACAATGACAGTGTAAAGAAAGATTTATTCTGTATCTAATGCCATGCTGTCCCTGTCCTGGGACTGTTTGATGGGGACAGTGTGGAGGAAGCTTTACTCTGTATCTAACCCTGTGCTGTCCTTGTCCTGGGAGTGTTTGATGGGGCTAGTGTAGAGGAAGATTTACTCTGCATGTCATCCTTGTCCTGGGAGTTTTAACAGAAATGTATATAGCTGCATTTGCTCAGTTGTGGTGCTGGGTCTTTGGGGAACTGCTGTAATTCCAGGGCTAGGAGGAACTTGAGGTGCAGACATTGAATGGTCTCCAGTCTCTGCAGAACTCATCAATAGTCAACAAAAATGAAAAAAAACACCCTATTATTATGAGCCTATCCCAGAGAATAATCTTTCATTCCTGCCACCTTCACCTTCTTGCCTCCTGGGGGGACAGTTTGACAACTGGACAACAATATCGCAGTGATTGTACTGCTCTCTGTGGGTACCTACTGGAACGGAACCAGTCCTGGGTCAGCCTGTGGTTTGTGTTCCCTCTTCCCGACCTGTGGGCAGTGCCTTTCAGCTCCTCGAAGTTCATGATGAACATGGCAACAGCCCCGTCCTCGTTCTTCACAGGGACAACATCCACCAGACACGGCAGGGAGGAGCCTGGAAAACAGAGCAGCACAAATTGAGTCCACTGGCTGAGCCTTGCTGGCAGCTCTGCTCACTTCCCCCCTAACCACAGCCTCCACATTCTGACCCTGTCCTGCCCATCACCTCTTGGGCATATGCCCACTGTGTTCCACACTTCTGCCCCCCACCCCATCTCCTACAGTGACAGCCCACAAACCTGCTAGGGATTTACCATCCGAGCCTGGGAGGGGCAGGGACTCTGTGTTTTGGAGGTTACAGCTGGAGTCCCATGTCTTGATCACTCGGGTTGGCCTGTTCTCTCCCAGGCACAGTGGGCAGCCACTTTGTTGCCTGTCACTAAATTCAGGATGTCTTCTGAAACACATGGATCTAAACATCAGAGCAGGAGGCTGTTCAGCCCTTCAAGCTGGCTCTGTGAAAGAGCTTTCCAAACCCAAGACCACTTCCATCTGGAAGGACAAGGGCAGCAGATACATGGGAACACAATCAAGTTCCCCTCCAAGTCACTCACCGTCCTGACTTGGAAATGTATTACCGTTCCTCCAACGTTGCTGGGTCAAATTCCAGGAGAAAGTCCTCCCTAACTGCACTGTGGGTGTAGCTACGCCCCAAGGATTGGGTTCAACTGTGATTCAAGAAGGCAGCTCACCAGGCCCTTGTCTGGGGCAATTAGGGATGGGTAATAAAGGCTGGCCCAGTCAGCACGGCCTTCATCCCAAAAAGGAATAAACAAAGATCTCCTTTCCCTGTTCTCTCCCCATTTATACTGCCACAAATTTATACAACCTCAGACAGACTCAAGTGACTGGCCACTTATCACCCTGGCACAGCACAGGGCACAATGCTGTCTATTCGACAACAAGAGCTTCATGACAAAGTACAATTCTGGTGTCACTGACTGGCTTTCTGCACAGTGCTTTCCAGGGTATCAATCACCAGGTTAGTGATCGCCTGGTTAGTGAGCACTGGATTAATGATCGCCAGGTCAGTGATCGCTGGGTTAGTGATCGCCAGGTTAGTGAGCACCGGATTGATGATCACCAGTCAGTGATCGCTGGGTTAGTGATCGCCAGGTTAGTGAGCACCGGATTGATGATCACCAGGTCAGTGATCACTGGGTTAGTGATCGCCTGGTTAGTGAGCACCGGATTGATGATCACCAGGTCAGTGATTGCTGGGTTAGTGATCGACAGGTTAGTGAGCACCGGATTGATGATCACCAGGTCAGTGATCACTGGGTTCATGATCACCAGGTCAGTGATCATGGGGTTAGTGATCAACAGGTCAGTGATCACAATATGTTAATCACTAACTCTGCGATCACTGGGTTAATGATCTTCAGGTCAGTGATCACTGTGTTATTAATCACCAGGTTATTGATCACCATGATGTCAATCATTAGGTCAGTGATCAGTGTGATATCGATCACCAGGTCAGTGATCACTAACTGTGGACAGAGATGGCTTTACCTAACTACAATACAGAATCAATTTCTAATTATCAAGCAATTTTAAAGGAATAAACCAACTCAAGGTGTTTCACAGCAGCTTTATAAATACAATCAGACCCTGAATGACAACAGAGACAGTGGCTCAGATGTTCCGATGCCCTGTGAGTCACTGCAACAGCGTACGCTGGAGTTTTGAGTCCGAACTCAGTAGAGCTCCAAGCAAATTGCTTGGGAAATTGAAACTCCCACTGGGTAATGCCTTTATGTCTGGACCCCTGCATAAAAGCCCCTTAATGTCTGAGAACTCAAAGGGTTCCAATTTTCTCGACCTTAACCCAGAAAACATTTGTCTGTGTCTCTGTGTCTCAGGGAATAAAACAGAGAATTGCATCTTGTGAATGTGCAGCAAATTAGTTTATGAAAAAGCTTGTAGCTTTGTCGATGGAGAAAGAAATTAAGCCGTGAACATTGGCATGGTATTTTATTAGGATTGAGAATCTGTAAAGTATTTTGCTGGGGGAGAAGGTTGAATCTTTCTTTTGTCTGTTTATGATAAGATTTTTCTAAATTGTATTATACATGTGTAACTTTGTTATTTTTCTTTGTGTAACAAACATATTCTTTTGTTAAAAGTAAATTGGCAACCTCTTGTGAGTATGTTCAGTGACTGATCTCCGTGGCAACCAAATTGAATACAAAATTAAAATTTATGGTCTATCAAGTAAGGTCTCACTCTGGGATTAGACTTGTCCAGTGTTACCATCAACTGAGATTCATAACGTCATCTCTGCTCTAAATTGAAGATACATTACTTTTAATCTAATTTTGGTCTCTTCCCACAAAGGAAAATATCCTTCAATGCTCACCCTATCAGGTTCTCTCAGGATCTCACTCATCTCAATATTCTGAATAAACGTTCTTCTCAATTCCAATGGCCCAGCCTGTCCAATGTTTCCTCACAACATAACAGCACCCCTACTCCCTCATTCCATGCATTAGTCACTTAAAAAGTCTCTGAACTTTTTTTCTTTTAATTTGCGGAATGTGGGTGTCGCTGGCTGGCCAGCATTTCTTGCCCATCCCTAGTTGCCCTTGAGAAGGTGGTGGTGAGATGCCTTCTTGAATCACTGCAGTCCTCCTGCTGTAGGTTGACCCACAATACTATTAGGTAGGGAATTCCAGGATTTTGACCCAGCGACAGTGAAGGAACAACGATATATTTCCAAGTCAGGATGGTGAGGGACTTGGAGGGGAACTTGGAGGTGGTGGTGTTCCCATGTATCTGCTGTCCTTGTCCTTCTAGATGGAAGTGGTTGTGGGTTTGGAAGGTGCTGTCTGAGGATCTTTGGTGAATTTCTGCAGTGCATCTTGTAGATAGTACATACTGCAGTTACTGATCGTTGGTGGTGGAGGGAGTGGATGCTTGTGGATGTAGTGCCAATCAAGCGGGCTGTTTTGTCCTGGATGGCGTCAAGCTTCTTGCTGGGAATCTGAATAATGTATTTGTATCTTTTCTTAAATATGGAGTCAAAAACTGTGCATATAGATGTGGTCTCACCAAAGTCCTGCATAACTGCAGCAAAGCACCCCTATTTTTCTATTCCATTTCCCTTGCAATAATTGACAATACCCTATTTCCTTTCCTAATCACCTGCTGTATCTGCAGTAATTCATGTACCTGGACACACAGATCTCTCCGTACCTCAGAGCTTGGCAAACCCTCTCAAATTAAATAATATGCTGCTTTTCAGTTCTTCTGACTAAAGTGGACAATTTCACATTTTCCAACATTATCATCCATCTGCCAATTTTTGTTCACTTGCTTAACCTGTCCATATACCTTAGTGGCCTCCTCTTTTCCTCATTAGAAGTCACTCTCCTATTTATCTTTGTGTCATCAACAAATTTAATAACTATACATTTTGGCCCTTCATCCTGCATGGTCAATAGTTACAGCCCCAGTACTGACTCCTGTGGTGCTCTACTAGCTATAACTTACCAATCTGAAAATGGGCCACTTATCCCTACTCTCTGTTTTCTGTCAGTTAACCAATCCTCTATAGATGTTAATACCTGCCTGCTATACCATGGGCATTTTACAAAGTCACCTTTGATGTGGCATTTATGGAAATCCATAGTAATTGTCACTTCTTCAAAAAAACTCCACCACACCAAGTTAGCCTAACACAATTCCCTTTCACAAAACCATGTTGACTCTGCCCAAGATATTCCAAATGTCCTGCTTTTTCCTCTTTAGTTAAAATTTCCAACATTTTCCCTGTGATTTATGTCTATGATTCCCTATGATTTATTTCCTGTGTCTTAAATACAGTGCCATTTGGTAATCCAATGGATCCTTTCCAGATTTTAGGGAAACTTTTGCAAAATTAAAACCAATATATCTACTTGAAAACAAAGTTGAGAATTTAAATATGAGTGTGTTGCCAGACTGGGAATGAGGATTGGTCAGCAGGCACAGGGACGAGAGGAGAATGGACTTGGTGTGAGTCAGGAGATGCCCAGACTTTGGAATGACCTCAACTTTCTGGAATGCAGAATGTGGAAGGAATAGAGCACAAAGTTGATAAGGTGGAGGTGGGAAGTTGGTTTTTGCCATGTGTTTAAATCCCTCTCCCCACCCCTTTCATTCTGCTAAGTATTCTCAAGCCTATTACATCATTCCCCCAGGGAATAGCCTACCAAAGATCCTTAGACAGCACCTTCCAACCCTAGGACCATTTCCATCTAGAAGGACAAGAGCAGCAGATACGGAGGAACACTTACACCTGTAAGTTCCCCTCCGAGCCACACACCATCCTGATGTGAAAATATATTGGCATTCCTTCACTGTGGCTGGGTCAAAATCCCTGAATTCCCTCCCTAAGGGCATTGCTGGTTTACCTACTGCAGGTGGAACTGCAATGGTTCAAGAAGGCAGGTCACCACCACCTTCTCAAGGGCAACCAGAGTTGGACATTTTCTGAAGAAGGGTCTAGGCCTGAAACGTCAGCTTTCCTGCTCCTCTGATGCTGCTTGGCCTGCTGTGTTCATCCAGCTCTACACCGTTATCTCTGTGTCTGAGCCAGCAATGCCCAGCACCATGAAAGAAAAATAATTGAAGACTGTCATGTGGTGCTGTAATAGTGTCCCTACTTCTGGACCGGAAGGCCTGAGTTCAAGTCCCATCTGCTCCAGAAGTGTGTAATAACATCTCTGAACAGCTTAATTAGAAAAATTGGTTAATATATAAAAATCTTTCTGAAGGCTGCTGTAAAGCCCAGATTATCCACTGGGTGGCAGCATGTCACTGTGGCTCAGGGTTTTCCCGGGACTCTGCAACGAATCGACCATTAAGTGACCTCCTGCAGCACTGTTTACCATCAAAGTGAAACTAAGGTTTATTTCTCTCCCCTTTTACTGCTGCAATGTGATAAACTCCAGCCACCAGGATATTGAAGGTTTGTTCATGGGAGGAGCTGACCAGAGTTCTAGTTATTAAGGTGTTGTTCAGTTATATTTAAGATGTGTTCCCAGACTTCTTCAGCAACAGTCATGTGAACAT